CTGATAAAGTCAAAATTAGATCCACAAGCGTTTCTCCTCCCTTTAATCTCCTTCAACAGTCGACCACACCCATTGTTGGAATCGGCCAAGGAAGTCGCCGCTGCCATCTAATTCCAGTACTCCGCCACTGTAATAACCAACGACCACCACCGTTGCAACAACCAGGGACCACCGCCGCTGCAATTTTTGGGGAAAACCATTTTTTGAATCGCATATTGAAACCAATTTACGATACTGTCAAGGCCGAGGTAGCGAACATTAAGAACGGAACATCACCACATTCGAATTTGCAGAATTACGATGATATCAACGAGTACTTCTGGAGGAGAAGGTGTTTCGAGAAATTAAAGTGGCCTATAGACATTGGGAGCAATTTCTTCGCAACAAGAAGCAAAGGGAAGTGGGTAGGGAGCAATTTCTTCCATAAGCTCTGGACTATGTTGTGTTTGTTTCTACAAGCTATCATCATCGTTGCTTGGAGGGATCCAAACCATCCTCCATAGAAGGCATTAAAGAACAAAGACACCTCTCTCTCTCTCTCTCTCTCTCTCTCTCTCTCTTGTACATCTCTTATACGTCTCATTCTCCCTCTCTTCATGATTCAGTTACTTCTTGCAAATAACACCAATGATATAACCCACTTAAGATCTTCTAGACCTCACAGATGTCACATATGAATGACACCAATTCTTTGCTAACAACAACAGGTTTGCAGCAGGCCTTTTATGGCTTCTAGTTGTATTAATCTATCTCATGTACACACAAATCAGGTACTTAATTTACTCTTTCATTCGCAGGTGCAACAGTTGGCCTTTTATGGCTTTCAGTTTTTCGCAAGTGCAATGCAGTTCAATCTTAAGCCTGAAGAATAGTTGTTGAACACAAGAGGGACTTTTCCCCTCGATTTCTGGATTTTGTGTGTGGTGTCGATTATAGAGTGTGTGTTGGTTCATATGTGTTGAATTTGAACCTAGATCTTCACCAGGTTCATCATTGCGTATGTTGAATCAGGAAGAGGGGGAAAGAGACGTACAAGAGAGAGAGAGAGAGGTGTTCTTCTGTGTTGAATCTGAACCCAAGATCGTTATTTAGTTCATCCCAAAATCTTCATCTAGTTTATCTCTATGTGTGTGTGTGATGAATCATGGAGAGAGGGAGAGAGAGAGTCGGAAGGACCATTTGTGTGCATAAAATAAAGGGACAAAACTTAACTGAATCTGTTAACAGAGTTAGTCACAGGGGCCTTTCGTGTGCAAGGTTTGCTCCTTGAGGACCATCTCAGGGAAAAAAGTTTCGTAAGGACCAACTCAGGGAAAAACTGTAAAGCTAAAGGACCATTCGTGTAATTTGTTCTAAATAGTAATATATTAAATATGATTACACAAATTATATAATACACCTGCCAACTACTCAAGGATGCATCTTCATTCAAAAAATTAGGAACATCAAACACCAAAAACAAGTTCTTGAAGCAAACCCCCCCGTCCTTTTAAGCACCACCTGTGGATGTCCCACCTACGGGTCCCACAACTAACATGTGAAATTGTAAATCACAATATTAAAGACCAAAGAAGGTGATGCTGAGATTTGAATATAACTGAACCAGAAGACCTTATTTGTGAATTCAGACCTTCTTAGATAATCAGGAGAGGAATCTTATTTTAGATTTTGCTAGTTGGTTTACAAAACAATGAATGCCGTCCTTCCGCAATCATCTCTCCGGTTGCTTTCTTTTTCAGAATGATAAGAGTTCCTCGGTATCCCCTTTTTCTACCCACAAGCTTTCCGCTAATCTCCAACTCATCCTGCCAATAACGTACATTAACAGTAAATGGTGAAAGTGGAAACTCTCCTCAAGGCTCAACAAGAGATTAATGGGTTAAATGTAAATGGTGAAACTTGTAAAGAACCTACATTCAACTTGGCCATAGAAAGGTAAGAAATCGACATATCCGAAGAAACATTAAGATTTTCATCCTTGTTATACACCAAAGTCGCACCAATCACATCTACTAAACCCGCAATTGCACCCGCTGCCAGATTTCCATTCCTATCCTGATTTAGTAAAAAAAAAACACAACTAAACCTCATCAAATCCCACAAATATGCGAATAATTTGAATAGATCGAAAAAGATCGAATCAATTTGGAACCCATAAGGTTCAAAGAACCAGGGATCGAAAACATGAAACTGATCGAGTTTGGTTCTTACAGTAAGGCGAGGAGGAACTGTGAAAGAGCAAGTCACGGAACCGGGTTGGAATCGGTCGACCCGTATGCCTCTGAGGTTGAACTCTGTGTAGAAACAGTAGAAGGCTTGAGGTCGAGGGATGTTGAGTAGCGCGATTCGCTCTGAATCTTGTTGGGTTACTCGTAGATATTCTCTCGGCCTCTTCTCCATCGAGGCCTACTGGGTTTCACTCTCACCCTCTGCATCAAAAACATAGTACCAATAATTTAAGAGAGAACAATGCCTTACTTTAAATCTTCGTATCATGTATATATACATATTTTATTTTTTATTATAATATTATATTTTGAAAATCTGTTATGATGTTATCTACAATAAATTAGGGCTGAGCATGGGTTGGTGTTGCCCCAAAACCGAACCCGATGAACATCGGTTTCTAAAAATTTGAACCCTAACCGACCCTAAACCCATGGGTTCGGTTTTATGGTTTATCGGTTTCTAAATCGGGTTTTCGGGTTCGCTTTAATAGATTAATAATACTGAAGAGGATATATGTTATGCTTATGTATGCGAGCATATGTAGCTACATTTCAATCATGTACTAATGTGGGATGGGTTTATCTAGCTGTGAAAATAAAAGAAGTGAAATATCGGCCACAGGTTTCGAACTTGTTTCGAACTTGAAACCTCCAGAAAAACAAACAAGAGCCTTACCCACCTGAACCAACACATGCTTTTGACATTACTTCGCTAAACATATATATATATATATATTTGTATATAAATTATATAACTTTATATACAATATATATAATCGGTTCGGTTCGGTTTCTATCAGTTTTACCAAACCTAAAAACCGAACCCAAACCAAAATTTTCGGTTTTCAAAAAATCTAAATCCAAACCGTCTGTTTATTCTTCGGTTTCGGTTTCTCGGTTCCGGTTTAATCCGTTTTTATCGGTTTTTTGGTTTTCGGGTTTGGTTTTGCTCACCCCTAACAATAATATGAGCTTTCGAAATAGGTTATTCCATACTAAGTGTAAGACCCGTGTAGTACACGAGTTTATTAAAAATAAAAAGTTTAATATCAATATGTTAACATTAAACATTTTATAAAGTAATTGAAAAAAGGAAAGTAAATCAGTGAGTTTGTAACATTTATATAAATTTATTCTCAAATTAATAAAATGATAACCTTCCATGAATAGAATGAGAATATTCCATATATATAACTGTAAATTCTGGAAAATTTAATATAAGAATGAAAAACCTTAAAAAATGACAAGTGAAAAATAAGAAAATGAAAAAATGAAAAAAAAAAAACAAAAAGACACATGTGGCAAAATGAAGGAGAAGAAAACATGTGACAAAAAAAATTTCACTTATTAAAGAGGATTGTGAGAATTGTTTTCATTCACAAAATTTTTTTTACGAATAAGTGCGAAAACTTTTTGGGAAAAATACGAAAATGATCTTTATAGTTCATAATTTTTTTAGTTTCAGTTCAAAAACAATTTCAACTTGCAGTAAAAAGTTAGATTTTTTTTATTTTTTATTTTTTGTGGTTTTTATCCTTAAAGTAAGAAACTTTTAAAAAGGCCGAAATATATCATCATCATTAAAGGTTACGGTCAGTTTTGTCTTTTGTCTTGTCTCTTACTCTCTCTTTTTACCTTGTTATCTTGGATGTCTACATAGAGACCTTAGATTTTTATTGTCTTCCTCTTTCAAGGTGAATGTGTATATAAAGGCTCCGGAGATGGGCTTATACTGCTTCTGTCGGTTTTTATTTGTAGCATGGTTAACTATCATCCTACTTTAACCCACTACAACCCAATGCTATTTGGCACTTAGTTGTCTTCAAACATTTGTGCTTGTCAATGAATTTTGTGCTGGAGGTGGAGTTTTTTTGCTAATTCTATCTTCTTACGCCAATGGGGGAGTGGTTTGCTTTTCACAATGAGGCGGTGTGAGAGAGTAAGATGTCGAGTAACAAAGAATTTGTATAAAAAATGTGTGTATGTGAGAGTATGATGTCGAGAGGCGAAGGGGCGGTGGAGCTCCTGCAACTGCAACCCTCCGACGACTTCTCCATTGTCCAAAGAATCTCCTTGGCCAATGAATGAAGCTCTGACAAAAAGTAGTGTATGCAACTAGTGGCGAATCGAAAATAGAAAACCATGTGATTCTCTAATTAAGTGAAGCTGATAAAAACAAGAATCAACTATACTTGTGGCGAGTCGTGTCGAACCAATAAAAACTGGACAGTTTGCAAAAAAATCAGTTTCCACCGAACTGGTCGAACCCCTTAAAAACTAGTAAAAACCGGCCTTATTTGACCCCCCAAAAAAATTTACTTTATACAACGGGTTTTTTTTCCTTTTAAAAAAGTTCACTTACAACAACTATTTTCTGCCGCTAAAAATATGGAAGGAGTTGTGTTTGCTTTTTCAAGTTTTCCTATAACAATTCATCATTCCCTTTTATAACATTAAACAACTACATATTTTTCTCTTCTCTGATATTGGATAAGTTTTGATAAACATTAACCATTTGCTTTGCAAATTTAAATATAAACATTCCACAAATTGATTTATTTATTTGTTGCTTATTTTGTCCGGTACCATAAGGTAAATCCTAAAAAATTTCCTATATAGATGCTAAACAAAATTAAAAAATTAGGTGGGTCAGATTCGCCCTTGTAATACAACCATATCTACAACTTTATTTTTCTGTCACGGTGGATTTTGGCTTTTGAATTTTTCTAGCACAATTTTGTGTATCCTCAACGAAGACACAACACACATTTTGGGTTTTCTTGTTTAGACTTGTCTTCCGACGAGCTTTAAAAATAAATTTTCTACAAATAAATAATGTATTACATATGATTACACAAATTATATGATACACCTTCCAGCTCCTCAAGGATGTATATTCATTAAAAAAGGAGAAACATAGAAAAACATCAAACACCAAAAGCAGGTTGTTGAAGCAAACCGTCGGCCTTTTTAAGAACCACATGGGCGTCCTACCAAACAAGGGGTCCCAGAACCAATATGAGAAAAAGTAAATCACAATATCCCAAGACCAACGAAGGTGATGCCAAGATTTGAATATAACCGAACGGAAGACCTCATTTGTGAATTCTTACCTTGTTATCGTTAGGACAAACATGCATTGCTTCAAAATTATATAATGAGAAGAGTAATCTTATTTTAGATTTTGCTAATTGGTTTACAAAACAGTGAATGTCGTCCTTCGGCAATCACCTCTGTGGTTGCTTTCTTTTTCAGAACCACAAGGGTTCCGCAGTATCCCCCTTTTCTACCAAGAAGCTTTCCGCTAATCTCCAACTCATCCTGCCAATAATGCACATTAACAAAAGAAAGTTGCATCTATAATGTCATCATGATAATAAAATAAACGGTAAAATACTAAAAGATATATGTACCTTCAACATCTTATTCATTATCTTATTCATTTAGCCGTTTAATCATTTTCTGCACTAATCAAACCGGTATTACATTTTACACCATGATCAATCATAAGCCAGCTAATATACCCAAGCATGCAATGAAGGGGCGGATCTAAACTAAGTATTGAGATTTGCTGTTGCACTAATAAGTTATAAGCTTATGATAAACTAGCCGCAAGAAAACTGATTCTGTTTTTTCCAAGTCAGAACAATCAGTTTGTAATAGCACATGGAACAAGAGATAGATTGGTTAAATAAATGGTAAAAGTGGTAAAGAACCTACATTAAATTTGGCCGTAGAAAAGTAAGAAATAGACATATCCGTAGAAACATTAAAAGATACATCCTTCTCATACACCAAAGTCGCACCAATCACATCTACTAAACCCGCAATTGCACCCGCAGCTAGATTTCCATTCCTATCCTGATTTAAGTAAAAAAAAATTATCAAAAACCAGAAATATGGGAATAATTAGAATAGATTGAAAAAAATCGTCTCAATTTGGATTCAGAAGGCAACCAATAAGGTTAAAAGAACATGAAACTGATTGAGTTTGACATTCAACTGCTGTTCTTACAGTAAGGTGAGGGGGAACTGTGAAAGAGCAAGTCAAAGAATCGGGTTGAAATCGGTGGAGTCGTATGCCTCTAAGGTTGAACTCTGTGTAGAAACAGTAGACGGCTTCAGGTCGAGTGATGTTGAGTCGGGTGATTCGGTCGGAATCTTGCTGGGTTACTCGTAGATATTCTCTCAGCCTCTTCTCCATCTCCATGGAGGACTAGATTTCAACTTCTGCATAAAAAACATACAATAAAGAATTAAGAGAGAAGTCAGAGAACTATATTTTGAAGATCTTCGTATCAAATATATATTTGTTTATTTTGTTTTTTTTATAATATTATATTTTAAAAAGACAAAACCTCAAAAATGGTCCCTGTGGTTTCCGAAAATCTGAAGTTTAGTCCATAGTCTTTAAAAACCTCACAGATGGTCCCTGTGGTTTCAAAACTTTTAACAAATGGTCTTTTTCGCTAACTCCGTTAGCTTTTGGCCGTTAAATGAAGGGCATTTCGGTCACTTCACTACTACAGGGACCATTTATGAAGTTTTGCCTTATTTAAAAAAAATGGATAAAAATATATATAGTTATTTAATATAAAGGGGGCCCACCCACCCACCTCTCTCTCTCTCTCTCTCTCTCTCTCTCTCTCTCTCTCTCTCTCTCTCTCTCTCTCCACCCCCCCCCCCACACACCCACAATTCACATTTTTCTCTCGTTTTCGCCATTGTTGTCTTCCACCCCTCATGAGAGGAGTAGAAAACCCAATTCAACAACACCATAAATCTCAGCGAACTGAATCGAAATCAAAGTGTTCCACCAGTTGCAGAAGTTGTAAACAACTTGATGGAGTCTCCGACTTACTACCAACCACCGTCGCCGCTACATCACTTCGACTCATCTCGCCCCACCTTATGCATTCCTCTCGGCACTGCCTTACTACTCATCATTATTTTCAGCATCAGTAGTTAATCGAATAATAGATCCTTATTCGATGAAAATAAGTTGATTAATTTGATTTGAAATGTTTTCAGGAAAAGACGTAAAGTGAGAATCAGAGTTTGTCGGTGGTGATGCCCGACGATCGGGTTGCTCGATTCATCACATTGTCGTGTCCGTGTGAAAGTCGATTGCTTTTCGGATATCATACTTCTGGACTTTGTTTGGTTTTCGTTTTTCCAAATCTTGCTGACGAATTGAAAACCTTCGTTCTATATTCAATGCAATTTCATCGACTCAAACTTTTGGTTTTTAAGCAAAATTACCTTCTCTCAGCACCAAAATCAACCAATTAATTTAGTTTGGTCAAGTCCGATTATCATTGATCATTCAATATAATCCTGAATTTGGGCTTAATTTTAATCAAAACAGTTTTAATCAAAACAGTTTCATGGCTTCTGGGTCTCACAGTGGACCATCTGACGTTTCACGAAACACCAAGTTTTGGGATATAAGATTCGGGAATATTGTTTCAGAAATAAAAGAGAACATCCATTGCTTTTCGGATATCATAGTTTCTGATACCCTTTCAGCTAGTTTCAAGATCGGAACAAATTCTGGAGAGGTTTCATACATTGATTTTAGGAACATTTTGTCGGATAATTCTTGGAATTGTCTTGGTTATTCAAGAAAAGTGATGAATGTGAAGAAAGAAGGGTATGGTTGTAAGATTGAAAGTCATGGAAATCAAGTTTTTTTGCAGTAAAGAAGGTGAATCGGAGGTGTGGTCTGAGGTTTTGATGGGTTCTTTGAGAACTGGTAAAAATGGGAAAGAAGAGAGGGTCTTTAAGAAGAACATGTTGGGTAGGTCGAAGGATCACAAATCTAGGGTTTGGTGGAAACAAAATGTTCGTTACTAGGAAAGATCAACAATTTGTCGAGGTCTGGCAAAGCTCTGTAAAAGAGAGAGAGAGAGAGAGAGAGAGAGAGAGAGAGAGGTGGGTGGGTGGTCCCCCTTTATATTAAATAATTATATATATTTTTTCTTTGTTTTTTAAATAAGGCAAAACTTCATAAATGGTCCCTGTAGTAGTGAAATGACCAAAATGCCCTTCATTTAACGGCCAAAAGTTAACGTAGTTAGCGAAAAGGACCATTCGTTAAAAGTTTTGAAACCACAGGGACCATCTATGAGGTTTTTAAAGATTAGGGACTAAACTTCAGATTTTCGGAAACTACAGGGACCATTTTTGAAGTTTTGTCTTTTAAAAACTATTGAAACTAAATTACATTTATAAACATACAAGAATGATCCTTGTGGTTTGTGTTTTTTTCGATTGAGGTTCAAAAATGTTTAAATCTGTAACATTGGTCTTTTGAGGGTTTTATTGTGGAAGTGGTCATGAAATCTTTTTCAATTGTTTCTTTTTTTAATTATGTTAACATTTAATTAATAAATAAATATTAAAGGGCCCACAAATCACCCCCACCCTTACCTCTCTCCCTTGGCATCATCAAGAAACATTTATTTTCCGACCGTTGTATCTACTTCCTCTGGGATTGTGGATTTCGATAGGATTGTTAGCCATCAGAACCCTGAGAAGTCCAATTGCTCGTAGACTTTTAATCTCAAAAGTTGATACTTGAAGGAAAACAGAAGTTTGGGAGATCTCAGTCTTGATATGTTCTTCCTACCATCTGTTAATTCCATCTTCAAATCCTAAACTTTATCTCGCTTGAATTAATCTCTATTTTGAAATTGAACATACCACCTACGACCCATCTAGAAAGATCCCCAAAGATAATTTTATAATTTTTTTTGTTGTTAATAGAATAATTTTGATATGTTATATGGTGACCCTCATTATCAAGTTACCACACTGATATCACCATTTACTTCATGGGTATAAGCTAAGATCTAAAGTTGTAACTTCAGATCTGGACCTTCCTTGGACTCTAAGTCCATAAAGTTTCAGCTTGGGAAAGCATGAACCTTCCCTCTAGTGTGAGACTTCTTTGCAAGTTTGGTTTTTGTCATTTAAGGCTTTAGAGCTTTGCATGCCTGTTAAAGTTTGCAACTTTACGTGATAAACATGCCTTAGAAGCTTGGATCTGTAATCTGGAACCTTGACATGGCTTAAAAAGTGTCTGCATGGATGAAGGTCTGCAAGGACTCGGCGAGTTGCATAGTCAACTCGGCGAGTCATATGAAGATGGTCGTGAACTCGTCGAGTTGATGAACAAACTCGGCGAGTCCGTTGAAGATTGCCTTGAACTCGGCGAGTCGTTCGAAGACTCGGCGAGTCGGCTAGGGTTTCTCCCAATTCTTGGACACGTATGAACTTGGCGAGTTAAAGGGGAACTCGACGAGCCAATCAAGGATTTCACGACTTCTCGAGTTCAGGAAGGACTCGACGAGTCGGTAAACTACACTCGACGAGTTGAGTCAACATGGACTGTTGACTTTGACTGTGGACTTTGACTTTGACCAAGAATTGACCAGTTGACTTCTGAGGGTATTCTGGTAATTTGGAAATTTACGAAAAAGGGTTTTATGGTAACTATAGGTGGTGGAGTTCGTGTGGGTGATCCGGGAATTGAGCTTTATAGTTTCATACGTCAGTTGCAAGGTGAGTTATCCTCACTATATCAACAGGGTCTAAGGCACCAAGGCCGGTCCTTATGGATTTGTATTTGGATTATTACATAATATGTGTAACGCCCGTAGATCCGGGCTAGTCAATTTAGAGATAATAGGGGTCGAAAACGACTTTTCGACAAAAAGATTATTTAGAATAAATAATCTTAACCAAGTTGTAGAATATGTCTCAAGGGTTCCGTACATATAAAGAACGCCGAAGTCCGAGTTATAACGAAGAAGTTATGGCCCGTCGAAGTTTTTCGGCAAAACCGGCACGGCACCGGGAGACGTAAATAGTGAATTTACAATAGAGGACTTTTTAGCCTTAGAGATCTAAACAAAAGTTGTAGTATATGTTAAACCGAGAACATCCATAAAAAGAACGCCCAAATCAGACTTCGTATGAGTAAGTTATGAATTTTCTAAGATTTGGCATAGCAGTGCACGACCCGAAACTCGAATTTTAGTTCGAGCGGTTTTTGGCTTATGCAACCTAAATGAGAGTTGAATATCTCATTAATAGGAACTCAACGGTAAAAAGACAGACGAAAACGGAGTCCGTATGAAGGAGTTACGAATTCTTCGTGGTCATTTAACAGTCTAATCTCATCCTACTATTAAATTTAAGATCGGTCGAGAATTAGCCGATGAAGTCTAAATCAAAGTTGTAGATCTTCTTTTTACCTACGCGTGGAGGAAAAGAACGTCGAAAACGGAGCTCGTATGCGAAAGTTACGGGGTTTAGAAGTCGGCAGGGTGCTGCTGCAAAAGAGGTGACATGGCTGATTATGGGCCAAGGCTTTCTCCCCAAGGCAAGCCACCAAAAGGTGACATGTGGCATGGACTCGAAGAGTAGGAGGACCTACTCGACGAGTAGATCTGTTTTCCAGCCTATAAATAGAGGTGTCGGGTTCCCTCATTTTTCACACCTTTCCAAACCATTCTTTCTCTCTCTAGACTCTCTCTCTAGCCCCCAAACCCCCCCCCCCCCTAAAGTCTAGGTAAACCCCCTAGCACCCGAAGGAAGCCCCGAGGCTCCCAGAGTCCCGAGAAAGGGGCCTTTCAACTCGGGAACGCTGCTCCGGCGAAGCCCGGTTTTTGAGAAAAACCCGTTGTAAGTGCGCTACGCCTAACCTATCTTTAGTATAGCTTATGTTTTAATATAGTAATGTTATTAGGACCTTATAATAATTGTTTGGGCTATTATTATGAGTTAGATAGTGTTGTTTAACGCTTATATAATAATAATAGCTAGACTATTAATTAGTCTCGGTTAACGTTAGACTAAACCCTAGTGGTATTGATACTAGGTTTTGTCAAGGGAAAATTGTTTTGAGATAACGAAGCGTTGTCCGAGTTCCGAGTCACCACCTTTCAGGTGAGTGCAGCATGTTACTTTCACTTTCATCTTACACATAGATATGAAGTATTTTATATAAATTACGTGCTTTGTGTGTATACTGTCTGGATACTTATTATCTATGCTGGATGAAACGTTTTATACATGTTTTAAATGATTTAAACTGTATATGTATTTTATATCTACAAAATGTGTTGGGTAAAACATGGGTAGATTAGTGGTGAGATAAATGATGAGCGATGAAAGATGAGATAAATGATGAGCGATGAAAGATGAGATGAACGATGAGCGATGATATATGAGTGATAAAATATGGTGCGAAGCGA